TTAAAGAATAAGAAAATAAAGTTCTTATCTAAAAATTAATAAAAGATTAAAGAGATTAATATAAGAGATATTCTACTAGCTCTTAAATAAATTATTATAAAGCTTTTTACGCGACTATCTATTTTATATATTTAAGCTATATTTCTAGAAGTTTAAAAACTCGTAAAAACTATAGATCGTACTATCGTAAAAACTTAGGGTTCTATAGTTAAATTAAATTATATACTATAAGAGTAATTACGGGAATTTAGAGTCGAAGATTAAAGAGTACAAAACGAAAACCTTTTATTTAGAGATATAATAATTAATTATATAGATCTATATACGATTATCTAAAGTCTAGATATTAGCGAGATTAGCTAGATCAATAGTTTATATATTAATATAGTAATTATATCGTTACGAGACCCTTTTAATAAGGATAATAAATTTATCGTCGTAGAACTTTTATATTAAAAGCGCTATATAGATAACCCTAGTTAGTTATCTTTATTAGTGTAGGGAGATAATTACCTTCATTACTTATATATTATTATTACTAACGAAAATAATTATTAATTTATTATAGTTATATAAATTAAGTTATAATTTTAGATAATCCTCGATTTTATACGATTTAACTTAACGATAAATAATCGATATATCTATTTATTTATCGAACTATTATCTAAGAATTATAGATAAATAGATTAAATAAATAGTGTAGTATTAAAGTAATAGCTAAATAATTACGATTATAGAGTATTTATAATCGCGAACTTTATTACTATTATTAAGGCTAGCCTAACCTTTAAACTAATAGTTAAAAAGCTCGCTAATATTTAACTAAATATATAATTTTAGTTACAATATATTTAAAGTCTTTTATTATATTATATAAACGTTCGTTTTAGTAAACTTTAGTATAGTAAACCTTAGTACTTAGACTTATCTAGATTAAATCTTAATAGACTAAGTTTATAGAATCTAGGGAGAAAGAAAGAGAATTCTCGTAAAGCGTAAATAATAACGAACTTAAAAGACGTAAGTATAAATAAATTAGTAAAGAAGAAGAAGTAATAGATTAAATTATAGACTAAAGTCAACGAAGATCTCACGTCGAAGAAGATAAGTTATATAGTAGTAGTCGTAATCGATCACGAAATATTAACTAAAGATTAATATTTCCTTTATAGTAGAGAGGAATATTGTAAAGACGATCGTTACTCTTAATAGTTAAGAAAAAGAAGAGAGAGAATAAAGGTTAAGAAAATAAGTATTAAAAGTATCGAAACGATATATAGAAAGTATATAGATAGTTAAATAGCGACAGTCTACAATAAAGAATATATATACGAGAACTCGAAGAGAGCCGTCGTAGAGATTTCTGTGCCGACGCGTTTTATTTTATATATCTTTTACTATGGCATAAGGAATTGCAGCGTATCCTCTCGTTCGTAGCCCCGTTGCGCAGTTTCGATTATCGATTGTCGACTCCTAGGTATATATAGTGCTTCTTTAATCCCCCCCTATAATACGTAAAGAGCTTCTTAAGATTATAAATAAAATATCTTAGGCGAAGGAAAACTTAGCCTCTACTACGTTTAATTTAGTGAATAATAAAAAGTCCCTTACTAAATTAAAAGAGAGGTTTAGCGCTATACTTTAATGAGAGATATATACACTAAATATTCTTAAGGATCTTTTAGAGAACTTTAAGGTAGCCTTAGATAATTCTAACTTTACTTAAATCGATATCTCTATCTTTAAGTTAATTAATTAAATATCGTTTAATTAAATAATACTTAGCTATTATCTACTTTATAAGATTTTCCTTTAGTTTCTAAGTATTATCCTTTAGTTTATACTTTAACTATTTAATTAAATAGTATATTTATTCGTTAATAAACCTATAATCTAGAATTTCTTTTATATTATATAGTAACTATTAGATTTCTTTATATATTAATATCGATTTTAGTTTAGTATTTAATAGTGCTTTTTTAAGAAGTAATTTATAAAAGATTAAGTATATATTTAGTTCTTCTAGTAGTTTTAATTTAAACGTTATTAATTTAAGTTTCCTTTTAATTTTATAGGGTTTAATTTTAGTGTAATTAAATTTATTTAATAGTCGTTATATTTTTATATTTTTTCTAGTAATATAGACTAAGTTTTTCTCTTAAATATTTAGTCTCTTAGACCTTTTTTTATTAGCTTATTTTATTGTTTTTTCCGCGATTTTCTTTAATTATTTTTATAGTATTTCGTATAATTCTTTAAGTTTATCGACTAATATCTATACTTTTTCTATAATTAGTTTAAATTCTCTTAGATTATTATTAATATTTAGATATTTCCCGTAATTTACGTAGAATAATAATATTTCTATAATTAATATACTATTATTAAAAGCGAACTATATAATAAATAGTAGCTATATCTAATTATTTTATTAAAAATTAACGTAATACTTTATAATTAAGCTACTAAAATTAAAAGAGTCTCTTATAAATATAGAATTCGATAGTATTTTAATTATTAATAATATTTTAATTAAATATATATACTTTATATTATATAAAAAATATTTATAGTAAAGAAACTAATATATATATTCTATAAAATTATTATTATATAATATAAAATACTAAAAGAAATATACTTAAACTAAAATAAACTATATACTTTATAATTTTAATAATTATTTATAAATTTAATAGAAATATATTAAAAACTATTAATAATATATTATTTATAAATAAATAAATAAATAAATTAAATATTAAAATAATACTTATAATACTATATTAATTTTTAATAAAATAATTAAGTATAACTACTATTTATTATATAATTTATTTTTATTTTTTAAAAAAGTATTATTAAATATTAAACTAAAATCAATACTAATATATAAAGAAATTCAATAGCTACTATACAATATTAAGAGAATAGTAGATTCTAAGGTTAAAAATTAATAAAGATATTATTTAATTAAATAATTAGATTATAAAGAAAAAAAGAATATTTAGAAGCCTAGGGAATATCTTTATAAGGAATATCTAATAAGAATAGATAGAGTGCGATAATAAATGGTTTCGTTAATCAGTATTAGATAATCCTAACCTTTAGTCTCTATAGGACTCTAAGTATAAGGAGAGTAAGCTCTCCTTATGCGAGTCGTATAAGTATATCTACCGAGTTAGATAGGTGGTCTAACGCTCGGCATTCTATCGAGTCTAAGTGTCGGGTCGCCTAGGACTCGTATACGGAAGCCCGTTGACTTGTCTAGAAGGCCTGGGTATATTCCTAATACTTACTAAGAGACCCTTATCTCGTAATACTCTAGCGTAGAGCGATTTATAATAGATATCTAATTTAGATCTACTAAATTTATAGAGGACGCTATAGAAGTTCAATACCCTTACTATATCGAATACCCTTACTATATCGAATACCCTTACTATACCGAAATACCCTTACTACACCGAAATATCCTTACTATACCGAAATACCCTTACTACACCGAAATACCCTTACTATACCGAATATCCTTACTATACCGAATATCCTTACTATATTAACTCTAACTGTAGTTACCATTATACCTTTACTATTTCTCTATAGTGTAAACTTTTCGAGCTACTTTCACGGCCTAAGAGGCTACGTAGATATAATGGAAGAACCCAAACCTAGTTTCGGTAATATACTGGGCCATCCTTCGTCAGGGATTAGGCATTGATCCTATTATCCTACGTATCCCTTGGAAGAAGCCCTATCGAGTTAATGACTTTCATTTAGAAAGCAGGTCAAGTGATACGCCCGTCCCTCATTGGCGGTTCAGGAGTTCGAACGCGGTCGTCTTGCCCCCCCCCAAAATAGCCCTGATCGCTAGGAATATCGTACCTTTCGGCAGCTGACACCAGACAAACTGTGCAATCTAAGCCAAAGAGTTCACGTGCTTACTGCTGCCCAAAGTTAAGTGATTATGCTGGGGACACTAGAGCCGCACCCGGATTCGATGACGACTACGAACATCTTTTAGATATTACGCTAAGGTTCAATCACCGCATAAACCTGCCAGTAGCCAATGTCTCTTTAAAGAAGACCTCCAGACAAGAAAGGCTTACGTAACCACAAGCAGGAAGAACAGAAATACTTGATATATAGTCATTCCCTTGGCCGAGAACGTTCAAACAGACCACACAATGTTCAGATTCCACAGCCAGGTCGAATAGTTTGCCTTATTGCCAAATCTCCTTAGGACCCGATCGCTTCAACTCTACTTAGAGGCCCCTCGACGACATTGATGTCTTAATGTCGTTCGCAGTCAATATGAAATAATAAATACTACTTCTAATTCGTGCGGCTGCCGCTGCGAACTACTTCACCCTTACGTTCGCAGCATTTGAGTTGCGACTCCTGCACCAAACATGGCAACCACTGTAACCAAACTGGAAAAGGATAGTGATGATAGGCCACTGAGACCATGCCCGGATGTACAGCCGCCCGCGATCCTCGCACCAAAAGCCATGATAAGCCCTCCGATCAAATGCTTGAATGAAGGAAATCCCAATAATATCCACCGGTATCGTTGATTGTAGGCGGCTGGCGATTGCAAGACTGCCGCTAAGCACGCCGAGAGCAAAAATGACGGCCTTCGGTGGGGTCGGTGGTTTCGACACGTCCTTAAAGCCTGATGCTCGCCATAAATAGCGGCCAACTTGTTCATACACAGTCGAAACCCCGAGCGGACTGGTAGTGAGGAGAATCGAGGCTGCTTGCGCAACGCCAATGAGGAGCCCTGCCACCACGGGTGGTACCGCGAGAGACCTGCCAGGCAACGCAAGAGTCGATAGACAATGGTGACAAGGGACAAGATCTCGAAAGCTAGAAAGACAGTTCTGGGTTCCAAGTTCAATTTCCCAGCGATCGTCTGAACGCCAGGCTGTGAAAATCCGCCTTCTGGTCCGTGTTTGGCCTCTAGCAGTCTTCCAAACTTCGCGTAAATAAACCGCCTAAGAGTGCACCGAGCCGGTGGCTCCGCTCGAAGGGATACCTTGGGCAAGTTGGACAATGACAGTACCCGGACAGGCACCAGTAAGGCTCATCCCCACGCCAACAAGGGCACCTCCAACAATGTTGCCATCGTAGGCGGAAAACCAGTTAAGTGTCGAGTTCGATCGACTACTGCGTTTTGCGATGTCAAGTGCTTCGAAGGTAAGCATGACAAACCTAAACTCTGTTAAATACGGAGTGCCGTCTCCATAGTACAATAACGGTGCACTTACGCGCCGGTGGCGCCCGCGGTCAGGAAGACCTCGAGCATGTGAAAATCGGCCAGGCGCAACTGATTGATAATGACTGAAGGGTGGTAAACTCGAGATGCCGTGAGGGCGGCGCCGAAAACGACCCCGAACCGGCAGATCTCAAGATATCTGATAACATCGTATGCAACTCAGGAATTGCTGTTCAGTGATAGTCAGCAGTGGATTGATGAGAGTGAGCTAAATGGTAGTTACTCTGGAAGTAAAAGGACAGTTATAAATAAATAGGCAAGCTGGGTTCGTTTTTCCCTGTTTCCCAATTTTTCGCCGCTCTTGGCTACAATTGTAATCTCAACTTGGGAGGTCATCGAGTAGAACCTACCAGATCGAGATGTTTAAGACGCATTAGAGATGTTCAGGAAAGAATGGGTGGGATATACAATATTCCCCAAAAAGACCTACATGAAGCCTTCGACTACACTTTTTGACGATTATGAGACCTTTCCCATCAGTGGTATTGAGGCTCGGGTCACCCACTTACCCGGCCACACACCCGACCATATCGGGTATATTATCGGGTCATATGTGTTTACTGGCGACTCAATGTTCAACCCTGACGTCGGATCTGCTCGATGCGATTTCCCCGGGGACTCAGCCACGGAACTGTACAACGCAATGCTGAAATTACTGAATTTTCCAGCTCATTGCAAGTTATATACTGGTCACGACTATCCGACTGAGAGGCGACAAGCATCAGTAGGAGGACATGGCACCAAAGCTTTTCCATTCACCACTGTGAAGACCCAGAGCGAAGAGAACAAAAACGTCAAATCTGGTATTAAAAAGGAAGAATTTGTAAAATGGAGGTTGGACAGAGACAGGGGCCTTGCAGAGCCAAAGTTGTTACAACAATCTATGCAAGTGAACGTCAGAGGTGGTAGGCTACCTAGGGATTCAGATTCGTGAATGTACCTCTAAACGTTGCATAGGTAGTTAGAGGATAAGATTGGGGACTTACTCTAGAGATACTCCGTAGCGATCACTCGATATATTCAAAGGCATCTTATAAAACTATGTTTCTATATCCTAGTAAGTATTATACAACAATAATTGTAATACACAACTTTAAATAGAGTATTACGATCGCTATCCACTACTGTCGGAAAAAACTTGCGTAAGAGAGGGCTGTCGTCAAGATTGCTGTGTAGTAGAGCAAAAGCTATGTCCACCAAATCACTCACATTAGAAATGACGGCTAATTGAGTAATGGCAAAGCGACACCAAAGAGCTACCGAGCGTTAGAATCGTCGTGTATGGCAAATTGGTATGCTCAAGGGCATGAAAGTCCCGCGGATCGTGCAAAACTCCCCCCACTGGCTCTATTATCTCTACTGTCCCTGCTCTACTGCTTCCAACTGAGGTCAAGATTGGGCGAATATGAGCATTCCTCCCCGGGGATAGATTTTAGAAGCTGTGTTGATTGATAATGCTCATTTAATCCTAGAGTATCCATCAATGAGTCGCATCCGTCATATTTTGAAAGACAGACCTGTTGGCCTTGCCATCAGCCTCTCTCCACCACGAGTCGGCGTTTTCATGGATACCAGGGCCCGACACACCCGCGCTCTTACGGATTCGAGCCTTGTGTTCATGGTCAATGCTCCACGTCTCATTCCGCGGCGCAAGCATTTCCGCTAGATTTGGCATCTGCTCTTTGGATGTCAGCGAGCCCATGAGCGTGGGACAACCCAGGGGCAACTCGTCGCCGCGGTCGACCTGCCAGAAGTGCCAGGTCTTGCCATACAGACCGGCTACTTCCTTCATCGCCTCGGTTTCCAGCTCGTCCCAATCGTCGTGGTTATGTGTGCCCGGTTTAGGTAGGGCAAGCATGCCCGATGACACCTCAAACTCATGACTGTGCCATAGCTTCTGCTCGTCGACATCGAGGGTTTCGTAGACCTGCTTGGGGATCATGTATTCGACCCCGATGAGGCGCGCGTCTTTACCACCGGAGTCGTAGATTAGGCATTGGCGTAGATCTAGTAATAAATAAAGAGGACTCCAAGTCAGCAATCCCATCGTAAGAAAGTGGTGGGATCATTTCTTTGAGTGGATGAGTGATGCACCTTTTCGCACATGCGAGCAAAAATGATGTGCCTCGACAGCTCGCGTCTTGCCTTTTCGAGCGTCATCTGTGTAAATGTGCAGCGCGTTCAGGAACTCGCAGATATTGTGAAGGGGCATAAATTCGTGGTTTGGACCTGCCGGCGATGACATTGCGATACTGCACTGGAGCTCAGGGGCTTCTTCTCGTCGCGGAAAAGTGTGAGAGACTTATTTACGTGCTGGTTGGGTTCAAATTTGATCCTGGTGGTCGGTGCTTAGGTAGTTATACCTAACGACTTGAGAAACTATTGTTTAATGCACCTTTTTTGAATTGACGATACCTTCGGTGACTGACGACCTGAGCTCGGGATCTGACATCATCCCTTACTGAGGTGTGATAATCTTACCGCACAAACTCTGTCCAAGCTCTTGGACATGTTGTCATAGTGACTGGAAGGTCTTGTGGAAGTTTGGCCGGTTTGACGTCGAAAAAGCATGCGGGGCAAGCCCCGGCGCGCAGTAGATATATAACCGGGCGATCTCATAAATCCAATATCTGGTGACTGAAGTTTGCGGAGCAGACTCCTTCTTATACTTCGTCCAGTGCAATACCAATTCTAACAGAAGCCACCCTGTTTTTCTTCATCGAACATCGAGACATCCACTATTATGGCTCTTCCACCCAAATTTTCCGGACAGCTACTGCCCGCAATGGACGCGAAAGAAAAGCACACGATTGAACTGTACTTGGACTATGTCTGTCCATTCTCGGCCAAGTTCTTCAAGACCTTCTACAAGAGAGTTGTGCCTTTAATAGAGAAGAAGTACACGAATCCAGGCGTACAAGTCATCTTCCGTCAACAAATCCAGCCGTGGCATCCGTCTTCTACGCTTGTCCATGAAGCCGGTGCTGCCGTACTAAGAACGGCTCCCAAATCTTTCTGGGCATTTTCGGAGAAGCTCTTCGAACGGCAGAAAGACTACTTCGATGTTGGCGTAGTCAATGAAACGCGCAACCACACCTACAAGAGGCTTGCTAAGTTGGCCGGCTCAATAGACGGCATTGATGAGAAAGCTGTCCTAGAGTTACTTCTGGTACCTGATAAGCCCTCAGAAGATGGTGACTCCAACGTCGGCAACAAAGTGACCGACGACATCAAATTTATGACCAAGGCCAATCGACTTACAGGGGTTCATGTTACTCCAACAGTCCTGTTCAACGGGGTCGAGGAGCGAAGCATCAGCAGTGGATGGATCGTGGAGCAATGGGAAGATTGGCTGCAGAAGAATGCCACTTAAGTAGTTGAGTTTGCTCCTATAAGAAATGACTGGACATCGTTCTCTATAGGCTATAGACTAACAACGAACCTAGTTGTTTATGTTGTAGGGTTAAGGGGTTAGTAAAGCTCGTAATGCGAAAAGAATTTAAGTTATAGTTAATAGCTATAGGGTCTACTAATCCTATAAAAATCTTTAATATCTAGTGCCCGTATCTATCGGCTATTATACGTTCTAGACTTATTAAGATACCCTAAATCTACTAGTAGAATCTTATATAGCCTTATCTTTATAAATACCTTAATTATTATTATTGATCACCGTTATAGCGTCGATATAATATTAAATATATATAAATATAAAGAACTAAACTTAAATTAATAGTCTTATTTAAATAGTAAAGTATTACGTTATAGCTTATTAACCTTAGGGTATTTCTATCCTATATTATAAAATAGCTATTAGCTAGGCGACAACATTATTTAATAAGTATCTTCTAATCGTGATAATGTCTAGCCTCTACTCTACGCTCCTATAGTAGCTTAAGCGTACCTTTAGAACTTTCGAGGTAGTCGCAAGGTAACCTTCAACATAGCTTGAGTAAGTTGGATATACTGGTATGTGCCTTCATTCATAGCCTTGTGCCATTCCTACTTCGGGCTTCCGGTCAGAAGACGCCCCAACGGCGGTGCGTCCGCTTTTGGATGCAGTACAAATGTCGGTGCAGACTATGTACCAGATCCGGCTAAGGTCATGTCAGCATCGCTGAGTTGAGATACTGTTGAGGGTCTTCCTGGCCAGCCCAATCGTACATCGTTAAGTGCGGGTTGATCGCTGCAGGGGTTTTGTGGCCTCGAAACGCATTTAAAAGAAAGGACGTCCCGTCGACAGGCCAATCCATCATTTGAGAGTCGAATTGGTTGCCGAAGTCTATGGAGGAATCCATTGCGGAAATTGGGTAATTCCAGCTGGGATTCGACCGCATATTGATAACGTGGGGTCGAATGTGTATTTCCATACAATGGATGTGTTGGGCATACTCAGGATAGGGAGTCTGGTTCCAGGGCGTGGCAGGGGCTGGTATCAAGTCGAACGGCTTGGTGAAGTTCGGTCTTCGCGCGATAGGCCCGTGTATCGGTGAAGGAGCGCTGCTGTCCGGATGTATATATAAATTATATAACGATTATCATTGCGTGAAGTCATCATCATCGGCGATCAGTCTCTACTGTAAGACATAAAGATCGTCCTCGAATGTATCGTGATTAGCATTGCCATTTTACCGCAATGCTCCCAATGTTTCCAGAATGTCGTGGGTTAATGATATACCGTCACTGGTCTCCGTCAATTTTGCACCGAGCCAGCCTTGGCCGCTCTGAAGACGCTTGTACAACTCCTGTAGGCCAGCGACGAGTTGCACTTGTTGCCTTTCGAGTATCTCTACGTAGCTTTAAGCGTTCGAATTAGTTGATTTGTGGCCGACTGAGGATTGGAGGCCTTACCCTTTAGGGTAGGCCTATCGCGATACTTCTTGCGCTCGCCAGAGACACAAATGGCGTTGTCTGCTTTACATCGACTGCAGGGACTGGAACTCTCGCACTAAGGAACAGATTAAACCTGGTTCAGCCGAGGAATGACGCTAGACTGGTTACAAACCTTTGATTTTTTCAGGCGACAGCGATCGCAAGCTTTGTGTACTCTTTTTCGAATTCCAGCATCGAGCGGAGATAAAGGTTCTCTCATGATTGTAGCGCCCACTACTTGGGAGTCTTCGCCTCGGGCAGAATACAAGTCATGACTGGGGACTCGACGAGATCGGTGGACTTGGTCTCTGTGACAGAGGCCCGTATGACAAGATATACTCAGGCAGGAGCGTTCCGAAGACGAAGCACCACGAGTGAACTCAGCTTGTCGAGAGACACGAAGGGCACGAAGACACGATGGGGGAAAGTTCAGGGACATATTCCAGGAGGAAAAGGAGGGCTCAAGCTCGGAGGACATCATGCCCTATAGCAGCATATCAAGTAACGTCGCAGTGGGAAGCGGTCATTCTCTCCTTTGGCGCCATTGATATATCAGGGTAAGGGTTAACTTGGCATGCGAGCACGGTCATGGACTTGTAGGTTAGTCGTCGACGACAGTCACTGGGTCCGGGATCATATGGCCTGCAGATATTTTCACTTTTGAGACGCAAACCCACCCTACTTCCACAGTTCTACGTGTAAAAATATCCTTGCCGTCTCGCAGGCTCCCGAAGAAACCGAATCAAGTTAGCGGACCTGCAAGAACCATATGTATATTGGTCGAGACCGCATAAGCTACGTTTCAAATGTTGCAGATTCTGCAGGGGTTTTATCTTTGGCCAATTGAAATTTCAACACCCTTCCTTACCGCTCCGATTGGATAAAACAAGAGCCAATAGGACAGACAACGTACCACTGCTATCCAAGGCTTCGGGTGGCTGCCGGGAATGTGACCTGCACCCACATCTGTATGGTGTTGAGGGAGTTCCACCTATAAAAAGCTATCTAGTCAAACCCACGAGTTGTGTGGGTGAGTAAAACTGGACTATACCCAACCAGTCTCACATCTACGCACCCTCAAGGAAATGTGGTCTCTACACTAGCTGGCTAGACACCGGGGAGCAGGGTTGAGTCCAGCTTGAGTCCAGGATAAGCTCCCCGAGTGTGCGAGGGGAGTTGAGGGTGAGTTAGAGCGGCGTGCTCATCCTCTAGGGCGGGAAAGGAAGTCACGATTCTTAGAATTTAGGCCGGAGTCTTAGAGTTATACTAACTATTAGAAATCTATTCTTTATAGTATATTTATTCGATTTATAGAATTCTCTTCTAAATTTTACGAATCTTTGTCTTTTTAGGGTTTAGATCTACGGGCTATTCCTAATACTAATATTATACTTATAGACTAAAACTTCTACGGATTTCTCTCTTATAGATCTATTTATTCTTAATAAACTTAGAACTTTCTCTTCCTTAATTTCTAATATTTCCCTTATATTACGAATTAGCCTACGACTAGAAAGAGGCCGTGACGCCTTGCTACGTAGGACGGGGAGAGGAAAGAGTGCCGAAGAGATAGCCTCGTCCCAGGTAAGGCTAGGTTACGTGACACTAATCTATTGATCTAGTGCTCTATCGACCCTAGGAGTAGAGTAAGTAAAGCAATAAATTATATAGATTATACGACTATATATATAAGGTTATTTTATAGCTTTACTATATAGTTAACTTCGTTTACGATTATACCTATATATTTTAGATATTGATTAGCTTCGCTTTAGTATAGCGACTTACTTATATACTCGTACTCTTATAAATATATACTCTATACTTCCTACTTACCAAGGAACCCTTATCTCGTAATACCTTATTATAGAGCGATTTATAATACTTTAACTATCTCTTGACTAGAAGTATACGATACTATATCTAGCTCTAAAGCTTCTATCCGTTTGTTATCCCCTACTAGATTAGTCCGATCTACGGCCCCACTAACTTCTATTAATACTTCGATATTTAGTGAGAAAAAGGATAGACTAAAGGTTAAACTATTCTATAGGGATAGAGCTAAACTAGAAATATTCCTTATTTAACTCTAAGTTATATTTACACTTCGACTAAACAACTATAACACTTATCCTACTAGGGTCTTATATACTACTATATATATAAGAGAGTTAGCCTTTCATTAGATTAAGCCCCTTATAAAAGACTACTTAACCTATAACTAAGATTAGTAAGAAGATAAAACTAAGAGAATCTTTAGTAAATACAATAATTTTGTAGATATAATTATATAGATCTTCGGAGTACTAAGAGAGGCTTAGTAGACTACCTAACGAATCTAGTAACTTAAGTAAACTAGTTTAGTTGCGTAGTACTACGCCTTATTTTAACGACTTAAGTTTAAGCTAGACTAGGAAAACTATACTTTTATCTCTATATTCTATTAGAGACTTAAGGATAATATAAAGGATAAAATAAGAATAGACCGCCTAAAGTAATTTAAAGACTTAGTTACTAGGGCTATTAGTATCGATAATTAGCTTTTCGAACGACAACTTAAAAAGAAGGGTTCCGGACGACTACACTTTAGAGAAACCTTCTATTAAAAGAAAAGTCACTAATCCTATAGAGACCTAATAAATCTTAACGCTATAGAATAAGGCCAATCCTTACAATTAAATAAAAGTAAGTTCTAGTATAAGAGACCATCTAAAAAAGAGTAAGAGCGACGAAAGAAAGAAAACCTATACTATAGTTATAGAAAATCCGGATATATAGCTAAAGACTACGGAAATAGGCCAAGAGAACTATATATAATAGAAAAAATTATAGCCGATATCGAAGAAAAAAAGGCCAATATTTCGATAAAAAAAGAACTCGCGCAACTTAAAGAGCTAGAAAAGAAAGCCTAGACATAATTCACTAAATTACGTAGCGCGTTCTAACGTATATCGCGAGGTTACGATAGAATAATAGCTATTATCGAGAGAGCTAGCATTATCGAGAAAATATAGAAAGGACCACGAATAGTCTAGAAGAAAGAAACAACCTCCAGGGAAGCATTATACCCCTAAGAAGTTAGAACCGTACTAACTATAGTTAACAACGACTTAAAGAAGTTCAAAGAGGATCTTAAGCGTAAGCAAAAGGAGAGCCTCGAGTACGCTATAATTTCTTAGACATTCTATTTTAACGATCATTATCCTATCTACCTACCTAAAAAGGAAGGTTTAGAATAGTTCTCTTATAGAAAAAAGAACAAAAAACGTTAGCAACGACAATAGCTACTAGATACTTTAGAAGAAGATAAGTAGACTAAAAGTCTTTTAGTTATAAAATTAGCTTACCTATAGAAAAAATATAAAATAGAAATAATAGGAATAAACGTAGTAGTCATCCGCACTAAATATTAAGTCAATACACCTTATAATAAGTTATATATTAACACCCTAGGGGGGCTAGAGTAATATAAAACCCTACACCAAAAATTTAGCCCTTACGGCGACCCAAAATTACGAAGTAAGTTAATTCTATTAACTAAATACGAGGCGTAGTATAAATATAGTACTTTATATATATACGATATTATAGGATAAGAAAGTTATAACTTTACTTTCATTATAGAGGAAAAGGATACTAATAACGAATAGAAAAAGATCTATATATTACTATATACTATTAAGAAAGTATACCAATATACAGCGGTAATATCCACTAGGTACTAGATAGTCGAAAGATTTATCTACGATATATCCTATACAATACCTTACCTTCTATACCTAGCGCTAAGCGAATAACCTAGGGAACAACGAGATATTATACTTTAGAGATATTACGCTTATAGAGATAAAGCACTATAGCTATATATACATTACATATAGAAAAATAAATCACGATAAATACTCAACTTTCCCTATACCAAAGGAACGGTAGACCTTACTAAGGAAATATCTATAAAGTATACAATTATTAAATACAATATATTATCTATTACTATTTCTATAAGATTTTAGTAAGGACAAGGTATTAAACTATATTTTAAGCTATTTAACGACCCCTAGATATATCCTATTATTATAACTCTTACGTTATACGTATCGAAAAAATACCTAAATAAGGAAAATATACACTTATACGATATCTAAGGGATATTAATATAGAAATAAGATATACAACACCTTATATTAAAAGTCGACGAAGAACCACTAGCTTACTAATATAAAGAATAAAATAATAAAGATCTATACGATATAAATAAAAGAACACTAATAATAATAGAACCAAAGGTTATACTAAGCGAAGAGATAGAACTATATAAATTTATAATCATTAAATTAACTAGAGTATCACTAACTATAATCACCCAATACTAAAAAGTATAACCCTATATCAATTAAAAATACGAGATTATTAACCAACAATACTTATATATTATATTCGACCTCGATATCGAACTAGAGGAATATATACGAAAAGTTACGTTACGGTATTATTAAGATCTTAACTACGAAGAAGCCCTAAGCCTATATTTTTATTATATAGATAGAGAGTATTAAGATTACGATATACTAGAGACGATTATACGAAGTATCTATAGAAAACTCAATCTAATAATATACGATATTATAACGCCAATAGTAAAAAACAAATAAAAATAAGAAATAAGAGACTATCCTTATTCTCTAATAAGCCTCGAGAATTATATACAACCTATTAATTAAGACTACTAGCCTACTTTATTATAGAAGGGAAGGTATAAGATATACCTATCTATATTATAATTAACTATAATATATAAGAAAACTATATATCGCTACGACTAAAGATAATATTAAAAAAATATTATAAAAAAAAAACTTATCTATACTAACTAAATATAGTAGATAGTACCCCTATAGAGTATAGTAGAAGATAGATACAAGACGAAGTACGAGACATTCGACTTACGATCTTAGGATATAAGGAGATCGTAAGCTTCGACTTTATATCTATTAAGTACGACTTAATTTTAGAATTAAAATAGCTTTAAGAACATAATCTAAGGATAGATTAAAAACACCGAAATCTTATATTTCCCAATTATAGTCACGGAAATAAGACGGAGGACCAATTATCCACTATAGTACACTATATCTAGGTAGTATATATACGACCTCGAAAAAGGATACTTATAGAAATAAGCGTATAAGCTATACCCAAGAAATACCGAGAATTCGCCAAGTTATTTAAAGAATAGAAAGATTTAGCTACCTTACCTAAATATAAGCCATAGGACTATAAAATACCACTCGAAGAGAGAAAAGTATCGAAGTATAACGAGTAGCTTCGATAACTATTTAAGAAAGAAGAAGACTTTCTTAAAGACTACATTAAGAAACACGAAAAGAAAGGCTTTATTCGACCATTAAAGTCTTCTATAGTATATAGGGTACTATTTACTTTAAAGAAGAATAGAGGACTTCGAGTATACATTAATTATTAAC